CAACTTAAGTTCTTGCCTTCCCCATTAAGAATTTCTAGGGATAAGGTCATCTCTCTTCTTCTTCCTGGTACAGAGAGGGAGGCACCTTTTACAGATAGAGATTTACCTTACAAATGTAAATGTGTCCCAACAAGGGCAAGTTCCATTCCTCAGAGCCTCCTTCCCTGTCCCAGTTTATCAAAAGCAATCAGCCCAAAACAATCCTGATGCCAAAGAGACATATCCTGGGGTGGCCAATTTCAGGTCCCTACAAGGTCATCCCCCCTTCCTTCACAAGTGCAAATGTCTCTCAAAAGGGCAAGCAAAATTCCAGTCCTCGGAGCCTGCTTCTCATCTGCAGTTTTAAAAGTAACCAGCCTAAAAATCCTCATCATAAACCATTTTAAAATTAAGCAGCCTAAAAATCCTCATCAGTAGGGACCCCAGTGGCTGTAGCGGAGGGGATGACAAACTGGTTGGATTCTGGTTATGTCGTGAAAATCTTTCCAGAGTCGAAACAATGTAGAGGCATATGCTGGGGCGTGGGCATGATGCTGGATAACACCCAGTAGGATTTTCAAGGTCAGTGAAAGACCTTGGTCAAGAACAGTCAAAGCAAAATCAATAGCATCTTTGATCCAGAACAATATGAGTGAAGAGCAGAAAAGTTATCCTAATGGATTGCGAAGTCCGATGAATGGAGAATTTAAATAATGCGTTAGTGTCCCTAGTCCAAAAATTAATCACAGTTAAACTGGATCAGACTGGTCGTTGTGCTTATTGCCCGTATTTGAACAATGGAGTTCCTTTTTTTTTTTTGTGAATTGAAGCCCATAAACTATTTTGAAATGCATGTCAATTATTTCCAGAATGCGGAACTCCTTAAGGGTCATGGGTGTCACTCGGCAGAGTCATTGAGGGTCCCTCACATGAGAAGGAACAAATAGTTTCCTAGCTATTGGTAGGACAGGCATACGGTTCTCTGTAGGTCTGAGGGGGAGAAGGCTGATGTTCCTGTTATCATTCATTATGGAGCCTTAAAAAGACACCTGCTGCTTACACATCACCGAATGGGGGAGGGGGCCTGGAGCAGAAACCTAGCCCATGTGACTCCGGGAACAAACCCCCTGGAGCAGTCCAGAACACCAGCTTTCAAACACTTTTCTGAAGGAGAATAGGGAGCATGTGGCCCTTCACTACCAAGACCCACTGGAGAGAAAGATGTTGACCGGTGAGGACTGGCCCTGTGGTCTGGTCCATCCCTGCCCGCCTCGCAGGGAGCCTGGTACCATCTGAGTGAATAAACAGGTAAAGGACTGAATGGCTGGATCTTCTCTGACCTCATTCTGTCCCTTTAGGGAACCAATATTACAAACGTAGAACAGTGCACAATGATTTTATAATCGACCTGGCCCTGAGGTCCGCCAGAGCTGAAGTCACCCCTCACTTTGTCCCTACCTGCGACAGAGTGCCGTCAGGTCCTCTCAGTGTCTCTGTGCCTCAGTTTCTCATCTGTAATATCAGGATAATAATGCCGACCTTCTGGGCTTTTTGTGAGCATTAACTAAGATAATGTGTGGGAAGAATTTAACATGGTGTCCCATAATGATTAGATCTTGTTATCAACACTAAAATGACATTAAAATTACCAAAAGGAGTTTTATAAAGATGGCATCTTGTAGATAAACTTTTAAAATCTTTTTTGTTAGGAAAAATTTGGGGGCTGGCCCTGTGGTGCAGAGGTTAAGTTCTCACGTTCCGATCCTTGGCGGCCCAGGGTTCACCGGTTTGGATCCCAGGTGCAGACATGGCACCTCTTGGCAAGCCATGCTGTGGTAGACGTCCCACGTATAAAGTAGAGAAGATGGGCATGGATATTAGCTCGGGGCCAGGCTTCCTCAGCAAAAAAGAGAAGGATTGGCAGTAGTTTGCTCAGGGCTGATATTCCTCAAAAAAAAAAAAAAGGAAAAATTTTAAATATATACAAAAGTAGAGAGTACAATGAACCTGTGTGTACCCCATACTTAGCTTCAACAATTATCAACTCATGGCTAGTCGTGCCCTTCCTCAACCCCTGGGATTATTTTGAAGCAAATCCCAGACATCATGTCATGTCATCTGTAATACTTCAATGTGTATCTCTAAAAATAATAGCCAAAATCTCATATCACACTTAAAAATAATTAATAAGGATTCGTTAATTAGATGAGCTGTTGGTCTGCTGGAAACCACAAGGAGAAAGGAAGAAGAGAATCAAGAGAATCTGCCAGCCCAAGGCTGAGGCTTAGACAAATTCTCTGCAGACCCAACACGATGGAGGCATCTGTTGTCCCTACCAAGGTGGGCGGGTGGGAGGACAGTGGAAGGCAGGGAATGAGTTTGAAGGCAGCATCCCATGCCTGAGCGAGGTAAAGCAGGGGTCTCTATTGTCTGTAATTTTCTTACTTCCCAAAGCAAATGTTTCGTTTGAAACAATTCCGCACAAATTCTTCTTCTTCCAGATTGGCAGGATTTGAGGATTGAACTTTACCTTTTCACCTACCTCGAGGCGCTGCTGCAGTGTGCGCTTTATGCAGGTAGGACATCACACGATTGGAGAGCTCATCGAAGGGGCACGGGACAGTTTGGTTTCGGAAACTTACAGCACGAAAGCTCACACTCCTCTGAGAGAACTCAGCTCTTAGTTTATTCCGCACTCATCTCCCTTCCCCCCAGTCTACAAAGCCAGTAACCCAGCGGACACCCCGATTTCATTCTCTGCTGCTCTACTTATTAAACTTGCAATTAAAACATTTTCATTTTTTTCTCAGCCGGAATTTGGAGGTATTTTGTTGCTTCCGAATAAGAGCTATTTGTGTTGAAGATCCTGAACATCAATAGCTCAAACCCAGACTATCACCCCCCATCTAGAGACCAAGGCGATGCAAAGTCTAGAGTTCAGTGGGCGACACAGCAAGTAAGTGAAGGCTGCTGAGAAGGCGCGGGGACAAGGAGCACCTGGGTGTGCAGAGGGCGCTACCGTAGGCTGCACACTGCTTCTTTGAAAGCCGCAGTTAGCTTATGAGCAATGGAAGCTTCGCCTGGAGGAAATAAGGAGTCTGGATTCCAAAGTCTGACAGAGCACAGAAGTGCTGGAAAACCTGGCATCGTCTTCGCAAACCCTCCTCACAGCTCCGGGAGTGGGTCCGCCTCCCCCTTTAGAGACGGGTGGCGGGAAGGCAGAGGTGATGTCCTCCGTTTGCTGCTACATCCTTGCTGCCGAGAACACTGCCCAGCACACAGTAGGCAGCAAATGTTTGTTAAATGTTGAATGAATGAATGAACGAATGAGTGCATGCGTACTGCTCAGCAGCCAACTCACCAGAGACTGTTCTACCAAGAACTTGAACGCTCCTCGAGAGCAGACAGCAGAATATGTTTCCTCTTTGGACCCAAAGAGCGTCTTTAAAAAAACTTTATGATTTTCTTATGCTTTAATGTATACTTTTCGTGCCTCTAAAAACAAGTGGTAAAAAAAAAAAAATTGGTGAAAAAATGGTATAATGACTCACGGGCAAAGAACAGATGACCTAGTTCGATCAGATGTCAAAGAAGATGCGAAAAAGATCTAACGTAGCTCAAAGTGATTCATCCTTTAAGGGACACATTTGGTTTGACGGCTCAGAATCTTATCAGATTGCTGGAAACTGAGGGTGGGAATGGGAAAGGAAGAAGCACTGGTGGAGTGGGGCCCAGGCCCACGTGGACAAGAAGGGGACACAGCAGGGAGCCCTTCGGGGAGCCAGGGGCACAGAGGGTGAGGTCTCCCGGGAGCAGGGGGTGGGTGTCAGGGAGCCTCTGAGAAGGGAGGAGAAGGGAGAGCGGACTGGGGACCTCACCTGTCAGAACCACCGCCAGGGGCCCCAAGAGCTGCAACTTCCGAGGGCGGATCAGTCAAATTCACCCTGTCGCCAAGTCCTGGCTGCCAGCCGCTCCCTGCCTCCCGGGCCAGGTTCCCTGGAGGCTTCTCAGGTGGTTCACTCCCTCTTGAGAGTGCCCTGCAGGGTTCCTCGCCCTCCCTGCCGGCCAGGTGTCTGCCAGTCCTCAGTGTTTTGCCTTTTCACAGCTAAAGGAGCTCGAGTCCCGTTCATGAAAAGATGCTCATCATCACTGATCATCAGGGAAATGCAAATCAAAACCATACTGAGATACTACCTCACACCCGTCAGAATGGCCGTAATCGCCAGGACAAAAAATAACCAATGCTGGAGAGGGTGTGAAAAGAAAAGGGAGAAAAGGGAACCCTTATCCACTGCTGGTAGGAATGCAAACTGGTGCAGCCACCATGGAAAACAGTATGGAGATTTCTCAAAAAGTTCAAAATAGAAATACCATATGACCCAGCTATTCTGCTACTGGGTATTTATCCAAAGAACTTGAAATCAACAATACAAAGAGACTTATACACCCCTGTGTTCACTGCAGCACTATACACTATAGCCAAGACGTGAAGGCAACCCAAATGCCCAACAACTGAGGAGTGGATAAAGAAGACGTGGTATAAATATACAATGGAATTCTACTCAGCCATAAAAAAGAGAAAATCGTCCCATTTGCAACCACATGGATGGAACTTAAGGGCATCATGTTAAGTGAAATAAGCCAGACAGAGAAAGACAAGCACCACACGATTTCACTCATATGTGTAAGATAAACAAACACATAGACAAAGAGAACAGATTAGTGGTTACCAGGGGGAAGGGGAGGGGAGGGTGGGCACAAGGGGGCAGGATCACATTTATATGGTGTTTGACAAATATTAAAGTACAACTGAAATTTCACAATGTTATAAACTATTTAGATCACAATAAAAAAAATTTTTAAAAAAGAAGACCCGTCCCCCAAAAATGAGTTTCCACATCAGAGTGGCTTAATGTTTTTTCAAGTGATCCTTACACTTTTATGATTCCTCTAAAATAATAAAATAACGTATTAACAAAATGAGGTTTCGTTGCTTCAAGGAACCATGGTTGGACCCGGGAGGGGACGTGCAGCGTGAGGATTCTGGCTTCCTCTTCTGTCACTGAGGGACACCGCTCGCCTGGCAGTCGCAGCCCAGCCATGATGCCTCCACACGCCTTCCTAGGCTTCCTCATCGGTCTCTCCCTGACTCGTGCGGCAGGTAAGTGCTTCTTTTCTTTTAATTGCTCACAGCCTTGTCATCTGAGCCTGCTCCAGCGACTGTCTGAAATGCCACTGGCGCTTTTCCGGGCTTTGCAAAAATTTCCACGTCTTCTGTCATGAAATGATACAGCAGACCCAGGGGCGGTTTCTGTTTGCAGCCTGAGCAACTCCGAGGGGCTTAGTGAGTAGCTACTAGAGGGGAGGCCGGCTAGTGGGTGCAGGGAACTCCACCCACGCCAGGCGCACATCCACCTCTCCATCTCCTGAGCCTCTCTTTGGCCTCACAGGAACACGACAGCACAGCAGTTCCCAGCACAGACTCCTAAGCCAGGCTGTGAGTCTGGATTTCAACTCTGCCGTTTATTATCTCGGGGACCTTGGGCAACCGACTTCATGCCCGTGCCTCAGTTTCCTCATCTGCAGAGTGGGAATGGTGGGTCACTTGAGGGTTAAATGAGTTAATACGTGCCAAGTCTGAGGGCAGTGCCCGGCACAGAATGGATCGTAAACAACACGTGAGAATCTGCCGTTGGTCTTCACGGAGAACTCTTCAAGAGCAGAAAGCGTCTTATCACGCCACTCCTCTGAGCAAGGCCTTGGAACCCCAGGTTACTGGTGCGTGCCTTCAGCGTGGGGGCTTCAAGCAGCTCTCCCGAGACTGGACGGGCGCCCAGGGACTGATAACACAGAAACGAGGCAGCCTCCATCTCCCAGAAGGTGTGGATTTGAGACGGGAAGACCAAGGACTCACTCGGCAAAACAGGGCAGGAATTCAAGAGCTACAAAGTGATCCTGGCTCTGCTTCTTACCGGGCCTGTAACCTGGGGCAAGATTCGCAACTTCTTCAGCTCTCGGCTTCCCCATCTGTGCAACGCACTAACAACAATGCCTATCTTATCCGCGGTTGGGAGAATGAGGTAACGGAAAGCTTTGAGCACAGTGCCTCACATGTGCTTAATGTTCATGTGCGTTCCATGATAGATGCATGCAGCCAGGAGGAGGAGGAGGGTAAAGGGAAGAAGGAGGAGGAGGAAGAGCATCCTTCAGCCTCTCACTGCTCTGCTCCTCCGTGCGCTCCCTCTCCCAGACTTTGCACTTGGTCGTCTGTGGGAGGTGAGAGGCAGGGTCTGGAGTCAAACTGCCTGGGTACAGAATCAGCTTCACCGTTTGCTGCTGTGGGAGTTCCCCCACCTCGTCAAGGCTTAGCTTTTTGGTTGGTAAGAGGAAGGTGACGATAGTACCTTTTCAACAGAGGAGCTGGGCAGACTGAGTGAGTTGATGCAGGTGAAACCCCACCACGTCTGGATCAGAGTCATTTGCTATTGTGGTTGATGGTGGTAGTGTGGTGGAGTCACAAAAGCGACAGAAGAAATGCATAGACAGATGAGATAAGGGCGCCGAGCCACCCATCTTCAGGATAAAATCAACTCTAGGCAGAGTCTCCAGGAAACTGTGCCTGTCATCTCCTGAAAACTTCCGGAAGTTTTATGTACTAAATATGATTGATTAGGTAGTAATTCGGTGAGCAAAGTCAATGGTGGCAGACTTTTAAAGTGCACACCACCATTTGGTGCACTGAAAGAGGTCCAAAACATTAAACTAAAAACAAACTAATAACAGTATTAACATTATTTGGCTGGTAAAAATAAATATTTAAGGCAACAGTCCCATTCATTAGAACATAACAAATCTTGAATGTTCAGAGCTAAGATTATGGGTTTAGGAGTATTTTCTTCCATCCCAATGATATTTGAGCAAAGCCTTGAAGGAGGTGGAGAGATGAGGCATGTGGAAACCCAGGGACGAATATTCCAGGGAAACGGAAGGGCCAAAGCTGAGACCCTTGGGTGGGAGCACCCCCAGCATGGTGGACCAGGGAAAGAGGCCTCTCTGGAGAAGCCAGGAGGAGGTGGCAGAAGACGAGGTCAGGGAAGAGACAGAGGGTGGGCTTCCTGCCTCCGCCTCTGCCCAACTTCCCATCCCTCATCAGAAACTTCAGACCTGTTGGGAGGCAAAGCTTCGCCTCTGCCCGTCTTGGGTTTTCAGTTGGGGACTCTTCAACAAAAGGGCAGATTAACAAGAGAAAAACAGTCTGTTAACGCGTGCAGCTCACATCACGAGGGAAAGACCTAATCCAAGAATAACTCAAAGTGGTGGCTTGGAATTCCAGCTCAGACAGCATCTTCAACCAAGAACCACACATCTGTAGGGACAGGGCAGGACAAGGGAAGCAGTTCTCGGCTTCCGAGGGAGGTAAACTGTGGGAAGGTAAAAATATCCCAGAGGAAGCGCCGAAGCGAGGAAGGTTTGTGAGCTGCTGTCTCTGGGCTGATAAGAGTCTGTCTGCAGTAAAAGGAGAATCTATGTCCTGCCTTTACGCACAAAGACGGAAGGTAGAGAGAACTCTTCCTGCACTTGCTGCTCCTTAATTGCTATCAGCTCAAACAATTTTTATGTCACAGAGGTATATTTTGGGGTGACATATTACTGTTTTCTTCAGAATCTACAGTAGAATTTTGTCAAAGCTGTCTTGCCTCCATGGGCCTAAATGCAGGTGAGACTGGGCCACCCATGTAGCATGGTCTGAGGAAGAAAGCACAGGCCACACAGGTGTGAAGTGTCCCCTTTCCCACCATGATTACTGCCTAGACTCTTCCCAGAAACACCAGGTCGCAGGGCAGGGTCGTGGGCGGTCTCCCTCCATACGAAGACCAGGGCATCTGAGCAGTTGTGTGGGGCTTTGGAGCCAGGGTGCAGGCAGGTGAGCACAGCTGTTTGGGAATGGACAGCAAAGGCTGACCCAAGTGGAACAAAGCCCGGTTGTCTGGGAGAGGAGGAGGAGAATGGGGCAGGACCCAGAGACTGAGCACGAACCGAGAAAGGAGGATCCCACCGAGTCTGGGCTGAGGTCCTGGAGCCAAAACTGATCTTGGGGAAAATTTTGCTTCCAAGTAGCTGTCATTTCGGGCTCCTGGGAGGGTGGGCGAGCATCCTTGGCATGGGCCCTTCATCTCAGTGGCTCCCTTCCATCACCACTGGGGAAGGGACCAAGGACAATATCTCTCCCTTCTGTTTATTCCCTCTACAGCTTGGGGATGGGGTGGGAGGCCATCACTTATGTTCTTATAGTCTTGAACACAGTTGCTCTGAAACCTCAGCATGCATCAAGATCAGCACATTTAAGACTCGAGATGTTGGTCCCTGGGCTCCACGTCCGCCATCTGCACTTGCAGCAATCACTTTTGGGACTCCTGACGCAAATACGACAGGAAAAACTACTGCTCATGACAGCAGTGCCTGCATAAAGCTCATGTTTCTCCTTCTCTTCCTGTTGTAGAAACTCAGCCAGACCACGCGTCTCTGAAGCCACAGAGAGTACATTTCCAGTCCCGAAATTTTCACAACGTTTTGCACTGGCGCCCTGGGAGGGCTTGCACCGGCAACAGCAGCCTCTATTTTGTGCAGTATAAAATGTAAGTAATTTGAGTTTCCTCCAGCTGGCAGAGATGGCCCCCGGGATAACATGTTCTAGAATGCAATGGAGCGTTAGGATCTGAGCTTTTCTCAGAAGTGTCAGAGGGGTTGAGAAGCAGCAGAAGAAGGGACCAAAGCATCTTGTCTCCCCTGAACGCTGCCTGGTGACAGAAAAAGCACAACGATGTGCAGTCTGCTGGGGGACAGGCTTCACCCCCAGAGACCCGGCACGAGACCGCGCGAGCTCAGCCTTCGGCTCCACAGGGAGGCTGGCATGTGGGGGGGCTCTCAAAACATATTTGCTGAATGAATGTTGGAAGCGAATTGTTCAGCACATAGTAGGGACGCAATTAAGTCGACACTATTGATAGTTGACAAAGAAGTTGTGGGACACATGGAGATGAATATGTAAAAGGCATTTTTAATTTAAAAGCCTTTATTTTAGGGTTGGCTTACTATTTAGAAAATTCCTTTCAAAAACTAAAGTCTCTTGTAAGCCTGAACACACAGGAGAACGTGCTGCCTTATGTTCCTCTCGAGGGAGCTTCAGGCGAGTTCTGGAGCATTGTTGCCAGGACTCAGATATAATCAACTCCTTTCCTCCATCCAGGCCAGGAAACAGAAGCTCCTGATTTGTGAGCGGCACGTTTTCCAGCTCAGATGTTTCCTGGGGTTTTCTGAGGCTCTTCCTTCTCTTACACAGTTTGAAATGCGGCTGAGCCTGAGAGAGGAGATAGTGCAGTTCAGCTTTCAGGGTTTTTCATTAGAAATTCAGAAAATCAGATGCAGCTGTGGACCAAAATAGCAATTTTTATTTCATAACTTCATCCACGTCTCTCCAGCGTCGGGGGAGGTCCAAGGTCAGATTTTCGCATCCATTAACCTCTTGCCACCTTCAGCAGGACCTGTCCCACAGAGGTTTCTCAGTCTTTAGTCTGCTGCTTTCCTCAACACAGTTTGTGTGGCAATTCTAAAAGCTACAAATCTTTACAAGAAAGATTTCTCCATGCTCAACGCAGATTTGTGCAGAGCTGGAGATGTTGCTGAACATGGGGGTAGGGGTTGGTGCTACTTTCATTCTTCCCTCTTAGGCAGCATACACAGCTCCAAAGTGGGCCTATTTGTGGTCCAACGCAAAAAGTGGGTTAGAAGTTGTTTTACCCTGAAACTAGTGAAGATTAAACTTCAGGGTCCCCTGGAAGAATTTCATATTTGTAATTCATTTTCTTTTTTTTTTTAAGATTTTTTTTATTTTTCCTTTTTCTCCCAAAGCCCCCTGCTACATAGTTACATATTTTCAGTTGTGGGTCCTTCTAGTTGTGGCATGTGGGATGCCGCCTCAGCATGGCTTGATGAGCGGTGTCGCGTCCTTGCCCAGGATCCGAGCTGGCGAAACCCTGGGCCCCCACAGCAGAGCGCGCAAACTTAACCACTGGGCCCCGGGGCTGGCCCGTGTAATTCTTTTTCTTAAAGAGGGCCTCCAGACTTGTATAAAATTCAGAATTCCTGGGTCCATTCCTATCTAGATGGTATTTTCAACAGCACAATGCAGATTCGTATTTTTGAAATCTTTCCCTTTGGTTCTACCCAGTTCACGTGGGTCTACTGTTAATATCTGTGCCATTTGGGATAGGACAAAAACCAACATAGCACACTAAAAGAGAAGCCAGTCATTATAGCTAAATTCAGCTAGCAAAGACAGTGTCTTGTCAATAAATAACAATTAAAAAGCATTAAATTGCACTCAATATATATTGTTGGTTCTGCTTTAACGGTACCTTCTGATATAGTGGAACCGCTGCCACCACACAGTTTACAGATTGCAGACAGCAGCGATATCCCTCATTATATGCCTACAAAGTCATATTTCAAGTCCTTCAACAAATATTTTGGAAGCCTTTCTCCCAGCCTCTAATTGCCGCTGTTCCCGCCACCATCTTGTTGCGTGTTCTGAAGGGTTAATCTTCCCTGTTGCTGTCACACCATCCCATTGCCTTAGGCTGGGTCATCTATCTGCCTCTTCGGCTCTCTGCCTTCTTTATGGGATCTCCTCCCCACCCCAGCCCCTGATTACAGGACTTCTTGTAAAGCCCTCACCACCACCCCCCTCCATTCAGAGAAGAGCTTGACCAGATGTGTTGAGTAAGCATCACCTGAGATGAAAGGTTGTTGCAAGTTCTCAGAATCAGCTGCATTACTCAACAGCAAGCTGATGAGAAGTGAAGAAAACCACAAAGGGGTGAAACCTCAGAAGCATTAAGGATGTGGAGAGCTAGTACTCAAAAAGGGAAGACGTCCACACCCCAGAGGAAAAACTCACTAAATGTTAAAAACCCAAACCCCTTTGCTGGTGATGCAGCAGGTGTCAGGCTCGAGTTAATCTTTCAGTGAGATAGCACTTTGGTTAAGAAGAAATTTTTTTGAAAGATACTGAAGAGTAGCCATAAGCTTTCACAGTGGTACCAGTATTGGAGGACACATTTCAATATAATTTCTAAAAAATTAATAGACTGAAAAACTGAAGACTCCAGTGGAAAAAAGAAACTCAGCTCTTGCCTTTTCACTTCTGTAGGTACGGACAGAGACAATGGACAAACAAGGAGACTTGCTGGGGTATTCAAGAGTTCTTTTGTGACCTTACCAACGAAACGTCAGCGATCCAGGAGCCTTATTACGGGAGGGTGAAGACGGCCTCGGCCGGGATCCACTCTGGCTGGACCATGACGCGGCGGTTCATTCCCTGGTGGGAAAGTGAGTTCCATGCATTTCTTTGCATTCTTTCCTGCGCTTGCATAGTCCTCAGGGAGTGTGGCAGCCCCCGGGCCCCGTGCCTTGCGGAGGTCCACGGCTTCATCTCATTTGGGCTAATTCTCCAAACAGCTCTAGAGGATGGTTTTCCCCACCCCCACTACGCAGCCCAGGGAATCAAGGTGGGGGCTCTAGCAGGTGCCCAGGCTCACAGGCTTCATAACCCGGGTCGGGATTCAAATTCTGCTGCATCTGACTGCAGAGCTGGCACTATCCCACTGCCAGGTTATTACCTCCTGGAAGAAAGAAGTCTGTTTAGACAGCAGAAAAGGAGTCACATCGCCCTAGTCCCTTCCTAAGCATGAGGATTAAGTTCCGAAAAATGCTCATTAGAATAATCTTCTGTTGAGGAAATTAAGACTTTTAGTCACCTCCCCCAAAAGGGGAGACCAAAAGTGCTCTCTCATATCCATTTCTCAATGATGTATTTTCTTCTTCTAGTTTAGTCATAATCCCAGAAAAATATATTATAACCTAAAAGGTAAATTATAAAATAAACAATTACCGACAGACCTTATAGAAAATAGTAGACAAAAGAGAAAGAGAAAAAAAGTATTTAATGTATACGTACAAAGATACGGATAACAAAACAAGAAAGAAAATATGAGTATTTACTGCAATCCTCATAACTGCAACCCGTCCTGAGGCTGAAGTTAATTTATAACTGCTTCCCTCCTTGTTAACTCAGTGCTCACCTTCTTTCCAGCCAGCACCTCAGCTCTTCACTCTTGAGGAGTTGGAGTCCTTTTCGTCTTTCCTGTATCAGCTTGACATAATCGTACGTTAACAGGAGTTCTAGGAGGCCGCCGAGAGGATGCCAAGCTTAACCCCCCACCTGACCCCACTGTGTGTGTAATGACTTTATTTCCCCTTGGCGGTCAGAACCAATCGCCCTAGACAACACAGGGCCTTCGCTGTCCCCTGTTGGCTGAACGGCATGGAGAGTTGCCTACAGTCAGGAGGGCGACTCCCAGTTCTTTGAAACCATTGTCCTTATAACCCAGAAGAATTAAGGATCGAGTATATGGAGAACAAACCACTCATGAGTCACTCACTAGGACTCCATTCCACTTCTTGTATCCTAGACCAGTGAATTCTGTCTATGGAAGACATAGCACCATTTATTGGTCACAGATTAGAGCACCAATTCACATACCACCTCACAAGATGTTGTCTCTCAAACGGAGTTTTCAGTTATCCACGTTACCTTCCTGTAAGGCCAGGGTTTTGAGCGATGGGCTATCTGGTAAGGCCAACTATTCCTGTGGGTCTGAGAGTTTACTTCACTCCTCCCACACTAACTTAGTTCTTCTGTCATAAGCAATGTGCGTTGGGGTGCCGTTCCCATGAACAAGGCGTTCACTACATCCATGCGGGGGGCTGCCAGGGGGACAGTGGTTAAAGCGTTGAAGCAGCGAAGACAAATCCATAACCAGAAAAGTGTCTGCTTCAGAGTCTCTTGTCCCCTCCCTGTTGGAAGGGATAAAAAAATGTGCATAAAAAAATCCCTGCATGAAATGAACCCACTGCTAGTGCTTCGGCAGTGGTCCTCCTGGCTGGGGAGCTGGACGCTCAGCGGTGTCCGTCCGGCTTTGGCAGAAGAAAGCCTGTATTGTCGAGTCCATACGTAGCCTCCATCCCATTCACACAGCCAGTTTGTTCATGAGCCTGTCCAGCAGGAGTGGGACACTGGAGAAAGAGGTTTTCACTGTCTCCACCTCGATCTTTTTAAACAGCTATATTGAGATATAATTCACACCCTTACAATCCCCCATATAATGTGCACAATCGATGGTTTTTGGTATGTTCACAGATATATACAACCATCACTCACAGTCAGAATATTTTCATCACCTCAAAAAAACTCCACACCCTTGCCTCATCCTCATCCCTCACTCCTCCAGCCCTAGGCAACCTCCAGTCTACTTTCTCTATCTATGGTTTCCTGTTCTTGACGTTTCACACGAATGAGATCATATAACATGTGACCCTCTGTGACTGGCTTCTTTCATTTAATGTAACGTGTTCAAGGTCCATCCACGTTGCAGCGTGTGTCAGTACTTCATTCTTTTTTGTGGCTAAATTGTGCGGATAGACCGCATTTTGTCTGTCCATCCATCAGCTGATGGACATTTGAGTAGTTTTCACCTTTTGGCTATTATGTCTAGTGCTCCTATAACATTCGTGGCCAAGTTTTTGCATAGACGTATGTTTTTATTTCTTTCTCTTGGGTCTATACCTAGGAGTGGAATCACTGGGTCACGTGATAACTCTATGTTTAACCATTTGAGGAAGCGCAGGCTGTTTTTCAAAGCAGCTGCACCATGTTGTGTTCCCACCAGCAGTGGATGAGTGTTCTGATGTCTCCACACCCTGGACAACACTTACCTGACTTTTTTATTATAGCTGTCCTAGTGGGTATGAAGTGGTATCTCATGTGGTTTTGATTTGCATTTCCCTGATGATTAATAGAGTTGAGCCTCTTTTCATGTGTTTATTGGCCATTTATGTATCTCCCTTGGAGAACTGTCTATTCAGATCCTTTGCCCATTTTTAAATTGGATTATTTGCCTTTTTATTGTTGAGTTGTAAGAATTCTTTATACCAGTCCGTTATCAGATATATGATTTTAAAACATTTTCTCCCATTCTGTGGCTTGTCTTTTCACTTTCTTGACGGTCACTTGAAGCACAAAAGTTTTTAACTTTGATGAAGTCCAATCTATCTATTTGTTCTCTTGTTGCTCACGCTTTTGGTGTCATTTCTAAAAATCCTTTGCCAAATCCAAGGATATGAAGGTTTAAAACCCTAAGTTTTCTTCTAAAAGATGTATAGTTTTAGCTCTTACATTTAGGTCTTTGATCTATTTTTAGTCCATTTTTGTATATAGTGTGAGGTAAGGGTCCAACCTCATTCTTTTGTATATGGCTATCCAGTTGTCCCAGCATCATTTGTTGAAAAGACTGTTCTTATCCCATTGAATCATCTTGGCACTTTGTTGAAAATCAGTTGACCATAGACCTGTGGACTTATGGATTCTCGATTCAATTCCATTGATCTATAGGTCTATCCTTGTGCCAGAACCATGCTGTCTTGATTGCTGTTGCTTTGTAGCAAGTTTTGAGATTGGGGAGTGTGAGTCCTCCTACTTTGTTCTTATTTTTCAGGATTGTTTTAGCAATCTGGGTCCTTTGCAATTCCATATCCACCTAGATTTTTAAGAGCTTCCTTTTGGTAGGTACATTTTGCTTTGCAGTCACATGGACATAGAAATACTTTTTTAGGGGTCCATCCATATAGCTCTTCTCCAGACCTCCTGCCACCACCTGAGTGGGATATAATGCTGCAGAAGTCCACTTCTGGCCAGTGCTGTCATATCATGCAGAGCCTTCTGGGAACAAGCCTCCTTTATTTTTTCTCCCTAAGTTAACTGGTCGCAGGGAACTCCTCAAGAGCTCGTAACTACAGGGGAAGAAGAATGATAAGACAATAGGTGAAGCTGCACTGGGAGGATAAGCAACCTACTTTTGCAAATTAGTTCCACAGTAAGACCTGCTAGAGGCTGGACTCATATAATCCTTTTCCACTTAATGTTGGCAGGTTTCTGTGCATTTTATGACTTGCTGTATCAGAGGACACCTAGCTGATAATAGGAAGCTCAGGTCACATGTTTCCTTTATATCCCAAGGTCAGGTGTTCAGTTTCTATCAGGGGCCAGTAACAGGGAAGTCTGGAGCCTTTTCTCAAAAGGAAAATAGTTATTTGTTAAAGAGGATATGACTTTGTTCCAAGAATCCAGGGGCCGGGAATTGTCACAGTCTCTACATGGCATCATGAGCTGCCGTAGATGTTTTGAAGATGGTTAAGATTGTTGGATCTTCCAGATCATAAAAGACAAGTGGCAGAGCTGTTTGTTTGCAGCATGGACTGGCTGAATCTGTCTCTTAGTCTGGGTTCCTCTCAAATGTCAAAGTCTTATGGATTACTTTGCAAGTGGGTAGCCACAACTAAATGTGGTATGTGTTCCCTCCAAAATTCAGCGAGGCCCAACAAGCCCAGTGAATCTTTCTTAGTAGTAGGGGATGCAAAGATAAACAACCTGTCTTTCACTCGGAGGAAATGTCTCAATGAACCCAGAGGAAACTTAACTCCCACATTCTGCTTCCATGTGTCTTACTAAGGCACCTACAGTGCGTAGTCCTTTAGGCCACCAAGTGCAATCAGTGTCATGTGATCAATTTAGTGGACTAACATGGTGTCCTATGGATCAAGGATCAAAGACAAGACTACATGTGACAGAGTCAGGGTGACAATGAAAGCTGATGAAAGGAAACTGTTCTGACTCTTTCTAATTATTGGACAAAGGAAAGAAAAATATCATTCTCCAAATCAATAGCTGTCTATCAGAGGCTGTGTTGATTGGCTCCAAAACCGAGACACAATACTGAAGCAATTACACTGTGGTCACCACCTGAGTACATTTACAACTATCCCTTTTATTATTCAAAACAAATCTTTTTGGGGAGAATAATTCAAATAAATGACTTAAATGGGGAGGTGCTACATCTCACTGCGTCTGCATCCTTCGAGGTGTTTGGCGTTCACGAATTTGCAGTTTCCCCAGGGAGACATTAGTACTTTTCATCTTCCATTTTGTCCAAAGGAGAAATTCCACTGGCTTCCACTTGGCCTTTCATTCCATAACAACTTTCAAGCCACAAATCCGGGAACCCAAATGGAAATGGGGTCTGTCAGTTGTTGTGTTTATCTCATTGAGTTTTCTTTTATTACCTGACTGACTAGAACCCACAGTGGCATTCTGAGTCCCCAAGGATTACCATCCACTCAGAATCAAGGTCCAGTGTTGGCCAGAGGGCCTGCACTAACGTTTCTCCGGTTCCCGATTACCCCATGGGGAAGGATGAGAGAAGACTTATCTTAAG